TTAGAAGTTTTCTTTGCTATACACCGACGCAGTGCTTGCGAGAGGGGAAGTACTGCGTCGTTGAGGTGCCCAGATGTGCAATTTTCCCAGATTTCTGGGTGAGGGGCTCAAGCCGGTTCTGTGTCATATTGTTGAAAGGAACCCCTAGATATTGAGCCCAGCCCTTATTGCTGCCGACTCCACCTGGTAGAAGGGCTACATTCATAGGTGCTGGAACTCGGGGTGCAGCACCACCCCCTGGCTTGAAGTGGTTTCCATCACATACAGAGTTTACAATTTGGGTCAATAACTCTTAGCCCCCCCACTATACACATTGTTCCAGCACCCCAGTTACATTTACATGCGTGGGCATGGACATGCTGAATGCATCCCGGCCAGAAAATAATACTGCCTAACATCTGACTAAATCAGAATGGAAGTGACTCAAACACCATCTGCACTGGGGTAAATGCCGGCACACGGTGCAAGATAGCAGAGTCCAGTTTAGCAAGGGGAATGAGTCTCGCAAGCTTTCGATCTGTTTTTAAAAAACAGCAGTCTCGGGTTTTAGTTATAGAATGCCGTGTACAGAAGTACTCCCATTTCATGTCACTCTCCGTTGGGCATATTTGCCATATAGGTCATGGCTGGGCTGCAGGCGCCATCTTGGCATTCCTCAAATTGAGCGGGAGTTGGATAAGACCAAACAAGATTAGGGTGCGGCCCGGCTGCCGGCGCCATCTTGGAATCCTTTAAATTGGCCAGGTGTTGGTTCAGCCCCCTGGCTAGTTAGCCCAGTTCAAAAGACCCGCTCTTTACCTCTCTTGCAATTTATAGTGGAAAATGTTGTAACAACTGACAGAATAAATTCCACTCAAGCTGGGATCCTCTCAGAGCCACACTAGGGTCAGAGAAAAACAGCAAACCCTCTTTGTCCTGTCTCCTTATACACCACAGTGGCTGAGGTAAACCCTACCTCACATTCAGGTGGGACCCTTTTAGAGCCCCTGTTTCACACTGCAACACACTGAGGGTAAACGCAGGGGTTCCCAAACGTGTTCATTGCGTGGACTATATTTAAATATGTAGCTCAACCTATGGATTCTCCTCTCCTTCCATTCTCTACCATGCAGCGTCCTTGTGGCTAACGGGGAACTGGACTGGAAATGACCTTTCAAGGTCCCTTCCTATGATTCTATTCTATGATTCTAACTGCAATGGTTGATTCTGAAAAGTACCATTAAGAACCTACGTAACACTTTTATCTATGATTTTTATTTATGTATTTATTTATTGGGGCAGCTGAAACATGGAGAAAGAGACAATGCTCTGTGACCAGCTAGCTCTCTGCTGAGCCCCACCCATCAGCCTGCAGATCACCCTCTGAGATCCTCTGAGCTCCACAACTTTACCGTGTGGTAAGTCTCAGCAGGCATGCATAAAAAGAAGCACACTACTTTGGTTTTCTTGCCCCCATGCAACGCTTCAAAAAAACGGTTTTAAATGCCCCATTGAGCCGGAAACTTTTCACTCTCCTTCGTCAGCGTGGGGAGGGGAAAATAAAGACACGGGGAGCTTGGAAATGAATTGCTCAATAGGACCATGATCTTGATGGGTGTATCTCTTGGTGCTAAGGACATGTAATAGTGAATGAAGTCTTGTAGCTGATGGCTCTCAATATAACTTTATTTTTAAACACGTTTCTGTGGGGCTGATGTGCTCTAGCCAATATTTAGAAATTAAGAGCAAGATTTTCAAAGATAAAAACTGCTATTTTTGAACCAAAAAATGAACTTATTTTTTGGATTTTGGCCAAACTATTTGGGGGGCTTTCGAAATTTGAAATATGCAAAAGTTTTCTCAGATGGCACCGGCAGGCAGACCACGCCCTGTGTTTTTAGGGCCTGATCCAACGCCCCCTGAAGTCAGTGGAAAGACTCCCATTGAAAACTTTGCTTCTGTCCGCATTTTCTGTAGAAGAACATCCCGTTTTCTAACCAGCTCCAGTTTACACGGTGCCCGCCACCATGGAGTTCTGGTCACTGGCCCATGCTATGAGACAAATACTAAATATTTAGCATGGTCTTTGAGGGGCCAGAAAAGATGAGAATTTGTCTCCCCTGATCTGAAAACACTGTCTCACCTTCAAAAATATTTCTCAACACCAATTTCAAATATAATTTAAATAGTGATTATTATTTATTTTTTTTGGTTTACAAAAAATTGTTAATAACTGAAGTGCCACCATCATGCTTTGCTCTCCCCAGGTCACAAAAATCTTATGGGGCCAGGTCCCTCCCTGGTGTACCTTAGCTCGGTTGCAACAAAATTCCATAGGGTGGGCTTTCTGCTCTGATCTGCAACGCGGTCATGTTAGAGTGTCACTTGCAGAGTCGATCACCCCAAAGCAGAAACTAGGTAGCTGGGGAATTCTTCTTCCTCACTTTAATTTTGTCCCTGATTTCTCATTGATTTGTCCCTGATTTATCATTGAAGAGGTTAAGGGGGCTACATTGCAAACTTGCCCAGCACCTCTGCCAGGCTGACCACTTATAACTTTTTAAGTTTTCAGTGCTGCAGTTTTTAAGCAGTTCGTGCATTGCATATTTTGCCTTGTTAACAGCAATCACTCTGCTAATGCTGATGTGGCAGCCTAACCCATCTAAATTTGAGGAGTTACTAGAACAGGAAAAAATGTAACCAGTAAACTTAGATCCCACCCTCACTGTCCTTCTCAGACTCACTCACTGTTCTTTCCGGTCCATGTCACTAAATCCAACATTATCCTTCTCCACATCAGTCCCTTTTCTACCTGTGGAAGATTGAAATTGTCCACATACCTGCTTGCTGAATGCCCTGGTAAGTCCATACTTGCTCACTGTGGGTCATATCTTCATTACTGCGGCCACAAGCAAACAGAAAAATCAAAATCTCCCAGGCAGAAGGGACACCAAGAAAGATAAATGTGAAAGGAAGCTGGAGACAGCAGCACGGCATTCACAAAACCAGCCAAATAACAGTCATGAACCACACAGTGCGATTTCACTGCAGCAGGCGAGAGTCTAACAGACGCGTCTGGTCTTCGCTAGCTTGGTGCAATGAGACACTGAGATGAACAAATATGGTCACTAAGGCAGCTGGGGGAGTGGATCAGGAAGTGCTTATGCAGCAGGGCTGTCAGCATTCTGCCAACGCCCTTTGGTCTCTTTCCATCTTCCTGATTCATAGGGCTCTTCTCCCCAATGTGTGTGTGTGTGTGTGTGTGTGCGTGCGCGCGCACTGGATTCCCCTTCCCTGCATATGTGTCTGTGTGTGTGTTCTGGATTCACCTACTGTGCCTCTGTGTGTGTGTGTGTGTTCTGGATTCAGCTACCCTGTGTGTGTGTGTGTGTATGTATTTCTTCTGGATTCACCTATCGTGCATGTGTGTGTGTTCTGGATTCACCTACCCTGCATGTGTGTGTCTGTGGCCTGTGTGTTCTGGAGTCACCTACCGTGTGTGTGTGTATGTGTATGTGTGTGTTCTAGATTCACCTATCTTTTGTGTACGCGTGAGTGTGTGTTCTGGATTTACCTACCATGTTTGTGTGTGTGTGGTGTGTCTTCTCCCCATTCTGTGTCTGTGTGTGTTGTGGATTCACCTACCCTGCGCGTGTGTGTGTGCAGATATGGTTTATGGATAGGGAAGTCAATTGTACCATGTCACAGCATAGCCACTAGCTAATATCTCCTTTTCCACCCCAGTGCCATAGGGAAGGGGTCTGTTTCCCCTTCAGGAGAACTGTCAAATCTGTAGAGAGTCACGAATTGGGTTGAGTTTAGTAGAATAACCACCATACCAATCTTCTCCTCCCCCGACAATGTGAATCCAGGAGAAGGGAAAATGGAAAACAGACGGTGGCTTCTGCTTAGGGATAATGTAGCAAATCTAACCCCTGCAAATCCACCTCTATACCATTGAAGGGTAGAGTGGTAACATGTCATCTAGAATCCCTGTAGAGCAATGAGCCTGTTCCTGCACTTTCTTGCCCCTTTGGAAGTCACTCCCACCAAACCTGAATGCCATCGTTCTGCTGAGAGGTACTGGTGACTGCATGAATCGCGCACCTCTGAGATTGATGGGTGCGAATGCACCCTTCAATTAACCATCAGGATAATCTCATCACAAGCCCCCCACCTAAGACAGTTGTGACCCCGCTGAGGAGTTTTGGACTGAGGGGGCAGTGTGGTTTTTGTTGAGTGTTGTTTTGGGAAAGGAGTGTGTGTGTGTGTAGGGAAGGAAGAACACAAAACGGGGGGCAGGGATAGCTCAGTGGTTTGAGCATTGGCTTGCTAAACACAGCATTGTGAGTTCAATCCTTGAGGGGGCCATTTAGGGATCTGGGGCAAAAATCTGTCTGGGGATTGGTCCTGCTTTGAACAGGGGGTTGGACTAGATGACCTTCTGAGGTCCCTTCCAACCCTGGTATTCTATGAAAAGGACCAGAGAGCCCCACACACACAGCCTGAAGGAGCATCCGAAGCCTGGTGTCTGACCCAGGCAGAAAGCTGGGGATTGGTTTTTGGGTCAAGGGTGCAGGAGGAAAAGATTGTCTGTGACGAAGCTGTTTCCTGCTATTTGCTTCTTTCTGGGTTCACAGACCCAAGACTTTGTACATGCCTTGTAAATAAACAAGATTGCATCTAAGAAATACCTGTCACCGGGGCGGCGCTGCGGAGGGGGGGCCTTGCAGGGCTATAGCCACCCCAAAATTTACCTTACCCCCCATGTAGCCACCCTTCTCAGTGCAAAGGTCAAACATTATGCAGATACTTCTCTGCTCCCATTAAAATGCATTCTTGCTATCTGGCAGAGCGGGGGGATTGAACCTGTTTCTCCTGCCTCCTGGGTGAGCGCTCTGCCCACTGGGCTGAAAGTCATAAAGTTGGCAGCCTCGCTCCTATTTTTTTAATATAGTGAAGCAGGTGCCCAAACTTCTTGCAAGAAACGGTTTCGGCACAGAAGCCTCATGGCTCCTGGAGAGGGGTTCCCGGCAAGCAGAGAGAGATGCTTTCCTGTAGCCTGGATTTAAGCCCCTAACTCCATGAGAAGGATGGTGCTTAGGACACACCCGGGCTGGATTAATCTTTTGTGGGCCTCAGTGCCAGAGCGTGGTCCCACCCCCTGCTCCACCCTGAGGCCTCTGCCGGCTCTGCCTCTTCCCCCCCCAAGGCCCCACCCATGCTCCACCCTGAGGCCCCGCCCTCACTCAGCCTCTTCCTCCCAAGGCCCGCCACTCACATGGGTGGAGGGGAGGGAGGGGTGGAGAGGAGCGAGTGGGGGCGTGGCCTCAGGGCAGAGCACAGGTGGGGACAGGGGGCCACAGTCAGGGCACCGGGGCCCCTTCTGATTGTGGGCCTGACCCCAGTGGCGCCATTGTAAACCTGGTGCTGGACACACCCCCTCTCACTGGCATCTCCCATTGGCTAGTTCAGGCGAGGAGACCCCCTAGCCGGCTGGCTATTGTGGATACCAGGTGCCTATCTCTCCCCATTCACCTAGGACCACATGGCATAAAAAAGTGGCCAGGCCATTAACCATCTTTTGTGCAGCTATTCTGCCGCTGAAAGGAACCTTAGAAAGGTTCATCTGCCCCTGGGAGAAGGATTTAACCCATCACAATTATCTGAGTTTGCTGTGTCCTCTTTCTATGAAGACTTTCATCTTGCATGCTCATGTACAAGTGACTCACCGTTGCCATAACAACTGCCAAGAAAAACCTCCTGACATGCCTTGACACTGTGATTGGATGAAATTCATCTGGTGGTTTTCTTGATATGTTCGTGTTCTGACTCCCAGCTGGTCTTGGGAATGTCGCTCTCAATTGGAAGAGTTTATGACTGTTACCCTGTGGGGGTGGCACTGACTCTTTTCTGGGCCCTTCACACTCCTCTCTGCTGAGCAGCTCTGAGCTCCCAGGTAAGACGTGATTCTTGTATCGTGCAGAGGTATTGAGTTAGTGCAATAGTCAGAGGATATTGCAGAGATGGGTAACAAGATCAAACCCTAAGATAGATAATATGGTGGAGCACTGTGAGGAGGAAAGAAATGGGAGTGCGTGACTCTACTCTCTCTCTCTATTTCTTTCTCCATTCTGTATCAGGGAAGTACGTTAGGCCTCAGTTCTGAAATGTAACATGTGGGATTTCCCACACGGCGCAGGGGAGAGGGCATTGAAGGGGGGTGTGTGTAATTTAGATTGCAAGATTTTTGGAGACTTTAATTTTTCTGTAAAGTCCCATGTACATCTGTCTAAGCAACCAGACTAATCGATACAAGCCCTTTTCAAGGTAAGGTTGCCTACATCAGTGGTTCTCAACCAGGGGTACGCAGACCCCTGGGGGTACGCAGGGCTCTTCCAGGGGGTACATCAGCTCATGTAGATATTTGCCTCGTTTTACAACAGGCTACATAAAAAGCACTAGCGACGTCAGTACAAACTAAAATTTCAAACAGACGTTGACTTGTTTATACTGCTCTATAGACTATCTGCTGAAATCGAAGTGCAATATTTATATTCCAGTTGATTTCTTTTATAATTATATAGTAAAAATGAGAAAGGCAGCAATTTTTCAGTCATAGTGGCTGTGACGCTTTTGTATTTTTATGTCTGCTTTTGTAAGCAAATGGATTTTAAGTGAGGTGAAACATGGGGGTACGCAAGACAAATCAGACTCCTGAAAGGGGTTCAGTAGTCTGGAAAGCTTGAGATCTACTGGCCTACATCATGTTGGTGGTTAGGGAGAGGGGGAGGGTGGTGAAAGAAAATAAAAATGAAAGGGAAGTCATAGAAGCATAGAAGATTAGGGTTGGAAGAGACTTCAGGAGGTCATCTAGTCCAACCCCCTGCTCAAAGCAGGACCAACCCCAACTAAACCATCCCAGCTTTGTCAAACCAGGCCTTAAAAACCTCTGTCATAGAAATTCCTGTCCGTTCCAGCTGAGGACTAAGGAGAGACGGACACAGCTAGCCAAGCAAGGAGCCCCTGGAGGGGCGATCCTTTTATTTCAATTGCAATTGGGTTCGAGCTCATAAGTCAGCAAGAACAAAGAAAACACTTACACCAAAGCATTCTATGCAGTTGATTATGATAATCTATCGCTCTATGATTGGCCAAAATTTGCTATCATTACCATACATAATTAGCAAGCTACATGTATCTGCCCCTCATATGACCCCTTATTGTTCATCTACTTGCCCCCTCCTTGCGTTATTTTGCAAACCAAGCAGTTAGTTATGTACAGGACGCAGGCACAGAAAGGTCCATTGTCTCCAGGTTTGGAGTTTGGCTACATTTCCTCTCGAAGGAACTTCCTGAGTGAAGATATAGCTGACGCTGCATGTTTCACATGTGTAGGTGACAAATTTGCCCCCTGGCAGTTAAGTAGAATAATTTTATATCACCTCTAAGGATGGAGATTCCACCACCTCCCTAGGTAGCCCATATGACATGTTATCCTGGGTGTCCTTGTCAAGTGGACACATGATGTTGCGTCAGCTTGGAGGAAGGAAAGAGAATGCAGCCAAGAGGAGAGATGTGTCCAAAAGGAATCTGTATCCTCCAGCAGATCCCCTAGCCAGCCAAGTTGAAGCGTGCATGTGTGTTCCTTGCACATTTCAATTTCCCTTCTGTGACTGCTCCTCTCTTTCCCTCAATTTTTCATTTCTCCTCCCCATGATTAACCTTTCTTTCCCCTCCCTCTCTCTGAGTCTCCCCGTTTCTCCTCCTCTCCTTTCCAACCCTTTCTATCCCCAACGCACCTTTCTCAACCTGTCTCCAGTTTCACCGTGTGCTCCCCACTCCCCTCGCTCACCAGAGGAGGAGTAAAAATGCACCTTGTGGCTCAGCGTGGCTGAGATCAGGGATTGAAATGGATTGAAACAGGAGAGGGGAGCCCCTCAGCACACCAGCCTCAGAGGAGAGGCGGCTGTGAAGGGGCCCACACACTCTGCCGTGGAAAACAACCAGCCTGTGAAATCTACCGATCAAAACCCCCAACACCAAGGCAACTGTCTTGAACTCATCCACGGAAATAGATCTCGGGCTGTAGCATCCCTGACATCACAACTACCTCCTGACTACACAGCTCCGGAACTGACTCTCCCATCGCATTAGAATCTGGGAGGGGCCTGCACCGCTCGAAATGGACGACATTTTTCTTCCTTTCGGAGAAAAGTGCAGATACAGCAACACCAAAATGGTTTATGAATGATGATTAACAAATTGTTGTGGTCAATAATAATAACATTAATAATGAATGGGGCGCATGTATGCTTCTTTTATTCTCCTTTCACACACACTCCCCCAAATGTTAATCCACTTTTGCTCCAAATCTGGAAAAATTTACCCTGAGCCAGCCCTGATGTGGAAAAGTTGAGACGGACGGTGAAAGTCTCAGACAGTGATTTAACAGGTGATTATAATGGAAACACTTAGGCAGCCTTAATCGCAGCTATTGCCGGTGCTGTGCTGTCGCAAACCGACGGGAGATCCTGACTATGGGAGAAAGCTCAGGGCCAGCATTGCATACAGCTGTCTCTTATGACACGGGTGTACAATACTTAGGTTGTTGGGGTGCTGATCTCAGTCATTGCCTGTAGGTGGTACTATAAGACACTCGATAACAGAAGCTAGCTCTGCCACCTTTGAATAATGTACACTTCCTTGCAGCCAGTCGATACTGATTGCAACCAGAAGATACAGGAAAACAATGTGCCCCACTTGCTAAATGGAGAATGGAGGCGAGACAGCTAAGGCACTTCCTAACCCTGCAGGCTCACAGACAAAAACCAGACCAGGTAAGCGAAGCTTCGCTGTCAAGACAAATGGAAGAACGATAAAGAATTATGGAAAGAATTGCTGTTTTTACAAGCTTACCAATGCGCCTTTAATCGAAAGGTTCACAGCGTTCCGGTACTTCTGATCATTGTACTTTTATCAGGCGTACCAGAACGCTGTTCTCCTCCCAACAGAAGTACCAGAACTGGTGTGACTCGGGCCCTGTTCTTGTCTGATCCTATTTATTAACCATCGGAGGTTGTGGGAGGACAAGAAATAGCTGCATAGATGCTCAGTAGTGTGTCTCCTTCACACTTCTTAGAAGACAGTGCAAATTGCCACGCTAATGGATACATAACATAACACTATAGGCCAGCCCTATGTATTCTGTGGCAAACTGGATTTAAATTTTGCTTCAGTGTTCCTGGATTCTGTTGCATCTGGTGGAAATTCTCTGGTGGCGTCAGATAAATTAAAAATGTGAGCTCTTATGAGATTAAATATGAAAAAGATAATGCAATCAGTCAATGGTGGATTACCACATGGGCCCATGGGGCTGGAGAAGCGCTTGCTCCCCACCATGGCCCCAGGCCAACAGCAGGGGCACAGAGCTTCTCCAGTCTCATGGCCACAGTGGGGGCACAGAAAGGAGCAAGGAGGGGGCGGGGCCACGGGGAAAGGAGTGGAATGAGGTGGTGCCACGGGCGGGGCCATAGGTGGAAGGGATGAGTGGGTCCGTGGCTCTGGTGCCGGGGCCCCTGCACTTGCTCCAGCCGAGGGCCCAGGAGACCTTAATCTGCCTCTGCAATCAGTGCAGCATCTCCTGTGCTATTTAATCTGACTAGCTCTGGTCAATTTTTTTAAATAAAACTTTTATTGAAGTTTTTAGCAAACATTTTAATGTAATGTTTTTCATCTTAGGGAGGGCATTTCAAACCCTGCAAATTGAAAACAATTTCACAACTGTTGTGAAATTGTTCATTTTCCAATCAGCAGTAATTATAATAAATTAAGCTTATTTTACTCTGTTCTTACGTTTTATGTACATGTTCCATTATTATGTATAGGTTTCAGAGTTAACACCCCATAGTGATGAATTGGGTAGTTGCCCTCTCTCAGAGCTCTTGTTTCAGGCTTTCTCAGACTCAGGCAGATACTGCTGCATCAGTTGCACTCACGTCACCATTTCAAGCTGTTCTTTGCAACCACAAGGTCTAGAAACATGTATTTTTAAATTAAAAGTCAGCTTCCGTAGCACAATTATGCAGCAAGGTATGAATCCTGCAGTCATAGAATTGTAGAATACACAGGGCTCTGGCTACAGTGCAAATATTACATTCCCCAGGATTTACTAGCAAGTACAGTTCATAACAGATAGTGATTGCAAAACGATACTTGGTCACTGGGGGCTTGGCTGCAGGACATTGTTGATAAATGTGGTTCCTCTTTCTCTCCTAAAGCAGCCTCAAGAACATTAATGTGTTTTTCTTTTTCAGAATCTCACTTCTGGCTTTTCCGTATCCTCCGGAAATACAGATTAGTCACGGTCCTGTTTCTGGTTTTTCTCATTATTGCTATTATTGTTTTGGCAGGTGAGTTGACAGCCATTCCTAATTGAGTTTTTGGTGTTTGTTTTCCCTTCACAGTCAGAATCATGGAAGATGCAAAATCCAGCCTCCCCAACCTTTGTAATTCTGCTGGTGTTGAACCAGCATGCGATAGGAAAGCAAAGAGCTCGAAGTCTGACATTTCTGCTTTGCTTTATCCCTCTGGCTGAAACTAGTTGTTTCACCCCCATCAAAATAATTCTTACAGACTTCTGGCTGAGAATCTCTAGGGCCTCTCTGCTTTGGAGTGGGGACTTGAAATTTAACAGGGGAGTTGGCTTTAGGTATGTCTACACAGCACAAATAATCCAGGTGATTGGCCCCCAGGTCGGAACACCCAGGCTAGCTTTGCCCAGGTGCAGGCATCCCCACAGCAAAGCCCCACCTGAGTTACTGTGTCCTCACTAGTTGTGTGCTTCCCGTGTCTCCCTAGGACTTCTCATGGTTCTTTGTGCTGAGACCCTCTGGGATTCCTTCCCAGTCACTTGTGGGAGAACTTCTCTGTCCTTCAGGGCGCGTTGTGGGGAAGGCCTTGGACGACAATCAGCACTTGAATGATTTTTATAGATTCATTCACTTGAGCAATTTAGCCTGCGTCCTCCCTACAAAGTTGGTGGGTTCCAGCCTGAGTTAAACCAGAGCCTAGATCCTAACCCATACCCCAGCCAGGTCAGCCAGTGTGCGCTTAAATCGCCTCCAAACACATCATTGTTTTTTCCTGCATGGACGGGAGCTAAAACCTGGGGAAGATCCTGGGTTAACAGTTTGGTAAAGACATACCATTTGTGTCAAGGGTGTGCCGCTGGCAGGTCCCATGAAAAGACACCCACATTTGGGGAAGTTATAAGCCTTTGAGAAAATTCCATCCATACGTGCTCAGTAGAGACTTGTTAGCAGCTGGGATTTTGAGTGGCCTCCTGGCCGTAACTTTTGAGTGTTTGACTTTGCAAATGTAACCTTCTTTCCATGTTGTTTTTTGTCTGTATTAGACTGTAGATTCCTCTGGGAAATAGCCGGGTCTTAATTCTTACATGTAACATTCCATGCACACCTCTGTCCATATCTAACTAATCATGGGGCATGACAATGGAGATTTTCCTAGAATGTGTAAAATTGATAGTGGTTTAGGGGCATTTTCCATCCCTGAATAGTCACATTTGCGGATAGGAAGGCCGGAGCCCTGGGTGCAAAAATCCATGCCTCTGTCTGCACTTCCCATAACTGCGCATATAAATAGGTTCTCAGCACCTGAGATTGTCATTTAGATGCCTACCTAGCATTTAGGCATGCAGATATCTCACGTGACATCTAAATGTGATTTCAGGCCACCTCATAGCAGCCTCTGTTGGCCAAACAACACTCCCAGCCTCAGTTTCCCTCCCCAAGGTGGGCGTTCTTAGTTTGCCAGACACCAGTCAGTGCTGGAAATGTGGCTGGTCCCTCCGGCTAAGTTACAAACAAACATAACCCCCTTCCAGGGTAACAAAAGTCCAGCTAAAAGTCCCACCCTCCAGGGTGAGTTCCCAGTTCCTTCTGGGTTACCTTTCCGTCTCTCTGAGATTGAGCACTTGCCCACCCAGGCTGAAGTAGCAGCCTCCTGCAGACCCCTGGCTCAGAGCCTTCCACAGGCTCCTACCCATTCTCTGTGGTTCAACTCTCGACTGATTTATTTCAGCCCCCTTAGTCCCACCCGCTCTGGCTGGGAAGCACAAAATTACATATGGCACAGATCAGGCAGGCCCCATCTCTCCTTAAAGGCCTAGTCCCCTGGTGACGATGTTATTCCACAGTATTGGCATGCCCGTTTCATAAAACCCTGCCATCAGCCTGAGGTTCTTGTGTCTGATTGCCAGCTTCCAGCTACGTTGCACATTAAGCTGTTCACCTCCATTGCTTGCTAATGTGCTATGACGGAATTTATACTGGGGGTCTGGGGCCTGACTTTGCTCCCATTGAGATCAACGGCAAAGCTCCCGTAGCAGCATCAAAGCTTTGTGGCAGAGCTATTCTGGTTAAACTCCGGTGTCAATCTCATAGCTAATAATATAAGCACCCCGCTGCAGGTGGGATATTTGAACCTGCCAATAGTTCTGAGTAAAATACAAAGAAGGGCAATAAAAATGATCAGGGGAATGGAGCAGCTTCCTTATGAGGAGAGATTAACAAGACTGGGACTATATAGCTTAGAAAAGAGACAACTACATGGGGAGATGATAGAGGTCTATAAAATCATGAATGGCATGGAGCAAGTGAATAGGGAAGTGTTATTTACTTCTTCCCATAACACACGCACTAGGGGTCACCCAATGAAATTAACAGGCCGCAGGTTTAAAACAAACAAAAGGAAGTACTTCTTCACCCGACGCACAGTCAACCTGTGGAACTCCTTGCCAGAGGATGTTGTGAAGGCCATAAGTATAACCGGGTTCAAAAAAGAATTAGATAAGTTCAAGGAGGATGGGTCCATCGATGGCTATTAGCCAAGAAGGTCAGGGATGCATCCTCATGCTCTGGGTTTCCTCCAGCTGCTAGAAGCTAGATCACTCAATAATTGCCCTGTTCTGTTCATTCCCTCTGAAGCATATGGCAGCAGCCACTGTCGGAAGACAGGACACTGAGCTACATGGATCATTGTTCTGACCCACTATGGCCGTTCTTATGTTCTTGTCACCCAAGTGTGGACCCAGCACACAATCTTTGGGCCACTTACATCCTATTTTGAGAATTTAAGTGGGTGGCGGGTATAATCCTTGTACGCAGGCTCTCAGCCGAAGGTGGAATATCACTCTTTGCCTCTGAATCCTGTACAGAGAGGGGATGGGAAAGATCCTCACTGTTGTGTTAATTTCATTTTCAGTGGTTAGCAGTAGGCCCTGCCCAAATCATGCCCCTACCACATGTCCAGTCGATTGGATCGGGTCCCAAGGGAAAACATACCCATGGAAATGCTACTATTTCTCAAAAGTCGATGGGGATTGGAACACCAGCCAGAGAAACTGCTCTTCGCTCGGTGCCTCCCTGGCTACAGTTGACACCCGGGAGGAAAAGGTGAGAAACTCTGCGATCCCAATAGTCTGGGCTTGGAACAGCTAGGTAATAAGTGCAGAGCTGCTGCGCGGAACTCTGTAGTTAAACCTGAGGAATATTTTATGCTAGGGCTCCGCAACTCTAGAACGAGGAGATGCCTCGGGACCAAGTCTCATGATGAGAAGCCCAAATGAAGGCCCTGATCCGACGGTGCGCTCCAGGCAGATAGATTCCTGCACGCCCAGAGGCAGGGGGCTGCCGAAGCTGTGTCTATTCTAGTCCAGTCTACAGAGGTTCTTATGCCACACTGATCGCTGTAGTATCTGAGCAGAATGATGGGCTTAATAATATTCTTATTAATATATTCTTAATAATATAATAATAGCCTTTTTTGCCCACAGCATCACACTGTTGACTCATTTCAATTTGTGTTCAACTGTTTAGCCTCTTATGAGCTCAGTGGTTTGAGCATTGGCCTGCTAAACCCAGGGTTGTGAGTTCAGGCCTTGAGAGGGCCACTTAGGGATCTGGGGCAAAATCAGTACTTGGTCCTGCTAGTGAAGGCAGGGGGCTGGACTCAATGATTTTTTGGGGTCCCTTCCAGTTCTATGAGATAGGTATGTCTCCATATATTATGGGATCAGGGCCTAAATGTATATTTTTCAATGAGTACATCTGGGGCTAATTGGCATGTTAAAATTGTTCACGTGGCCTTAAGTTCCAAGTATAAAAAAAGCGATTGGATTTTCCCCCCCAATCTTTGATATGTATTATTGGATAGGCTGGTCCTGTACACTAGTTACACGTGTGGAATGTGATGCAGACCTTTGTGTCTTTATTGCATCTTCTCCATTAGCGTCTCAGTAACATGCAATACACAATATTTGTTTTCACTTTTTTTAAATAAGGAGTTTATGCTGCACTATAAGGGACGCTCAGAAACCTGGATTGGCCTTACCAGGGAACAAGCAGACAAGCCCTGGAAATGGGTAAATGACACCCCATTCAATGACCAGTAAGTCCCTTTCTTTACATTCCCTTTCTATCATGGTCTAAGGTGACTAACGTGCAGGGAGATATTCTCAGCTGGGGTGCATTGGAATAGCTCCATTGACTTCTGCAACTTAAGTGGAGTTATATGACTTACGCTAGCTGGGAATCTGCCCCACTGACGCCAACGGGGTTGTTTGTTTTTTAAATCCCATGGCCTTTGTGTTGCAGGTTTCCAATAAGGGGAGGAGGTGAATGCGCGTATCTGAACGACAACAAAGGTATCAGCAGCTCAAGATGCACCACAGGGAGACGCTGGGTCTGCAGCAGGCCAGCCTGATGCACAAAGCCACGGCAAAAGGCAATGCAAGGCCTCTGAGTGAGGGAGAGTGATTAGTCGTCATTTGGCTTTCTGTACTGGAGATATTGACCACTGTCGACTCACTGAGGACTGGTCCAAACCTGTGTTTCGATGGAAAATTGGGCTGGGAAATGTAGTTCTCGAGGATTCTGAGGCCAGAAGGGACCACTGTGATCCCCACTCCTAGATGGGAGACTGCGGTGCATTGTGGGAGACATAGTCTGACCGAGAGGCCTGGCATGTAGAGGAGAATGGGAGCATGAGGAAACAGAACTACATCTCCCATGAGGTACCACAGCAGCATTTCCAAATCAAAATATTTCAGTTTTGGCTAAAAAAATTGAAGTTTTCTACACAAACCCCCTGCCCTATATTCTGACCAGCTCTGGTCTCAACTAATGTTCCAAAGTGTCAGCATTAGGGCTTTCAGTAACATAAAAGTTATTTTTCTGAATATTAATATGGTTTTCCATATGACCAGCTACAAAACCCATCAAAGAAAACACTATGTTCTTCCCTTCCTCTTGAAGCAATACCTCTCCTGCTGGCTTCTCAACCTGGATGTGGCAAACAAGCTGTTACCAAAGGGCTGTAATCACGCTGCCTTTCCTGTAGTGTTCAATGAGAAGTCGGTCTTGATGTGGAAAAGGTTGAGACCCCTTGATCTACCCACTGCACGAACAATTCACGAACAGGCATTCTCTTCTGAGTCAATAAAGGAAATGGGAGAGACCCTCTGTGTATTGGACCTTATGTGCCAAGATGTGAGAGGTAGCTGTGGTTAGGTGACTAATATAGCAATAAGCCACCGAACTGTATGCACCGGTAGGCTACTGAACTGTCCTTCTGTGGGCCCCGTCCTCCGTTATTATTATCATGAGTCACTGTGTATTATGACTGTGCATAGAGGCCTCAGCTGAGATCAGGGCCCCGTTGTGCCGGGCGACTGCAGAGACACACAGCGAGAGACAGTCCCTGCCCCAAGAGCTTGAAATCTAAATATACAGAGGGAGTATCATTATCCCCCTTTTATGGGGATAATGGGTTGGGACAATGGAGGTCTCAGACAGGGAACAACCAGACAAGTGGACTTGCTGCCTCCTGACAGAGCTGATGTTCCAGGGGACAGTGCAGGGCACCTCAGAGACTAGTTGAACATTGTTAGTAACTGTGTGTTGGTTTCTTCTAGGTGTTACTAAATTTTGCTTAGAAGGAGAGATGTGGTACTGGGAGGGAGGGGCTGTGCCTGTAAGGGTTGAGCTTCCCAGACAGAGAGTGTCAGTGAGGCCATGGGAACCTCTTGTAGGTGTTGTTTTGCACAGTCAGTTTGATTCAGACTCAGAATAAAGCAGAGCTGATGCAAGCAACTTAAGCTCTGTGTGATTTCTGACCAGCTCAGGGACCATAGAATCATAGAATACCAGGGTTGGAAGGGACCTCAAGAGGTTCTAGTCCAGCCCCCTGCTCAAAGCAGGACCAATCCCCAGACAGATTTTTACCCCAGTTCCCTAAATGGCCCCCTCAAGGATTGAACTCACAACCCTGGGTTTAGCAGGCCAATGCTCAAAGCACTCAGCTATCCCTCCCCGCATGTACACAACCACATTGGGATGTGCAATGGCTCATCATCAAACGGAGCATTTCTGCTTCCATGTGTCCGGATGGCTGACCCGTACCCTGCAAATACTCTTATCCTCCTGCCCTTTGCTTCTGCCTCATGCAAAGTTACAAATATCTGCTCCTCTCTGCCGTCTGCAATCTATGGCCCCTGTTGCCTTCCCATCCTGCCCTCAGTGACCCCTCTGCAGCCCTGGTGCCATCAGTGGATTTGCACAGCTGGAACTCACTGCAGTTTACTATATAATTCCGAGGCCGATGCGTGAGCCTGAATTGAATCCCGCTCCCAGAGCTGGGCTCACTCCACAGAGAGGGGAAGGCACTAACAAGTTATCGGAGCCTCTGTAGTCAGGAGATGGGACTTGGATACCTACAGGGAGCAGATCTGCTGAGCGAAAAAGGACGGCTTTTATAGAGGCTTTGCGCAGAGAGGAATTGCCTGCAAAGTGGCTAAGCCTGCTGCAGAAGCCGATTGTAGTAAAACAAACCCACTGGAGATTTAGGTAGTTGCACCCTTCCCATTGTTCTTTCAGATCAATGCAGGAGCCAGCCGTACTTCAGCTCATGCACAGAGATCACAGAGTAGTTACAGGAAGGACTGAGCGCTGATAGCTGCTAATATCGTCAGTAACACCTGTTGGTAGCTATGCCACTGAATTACCGCAGGGCTCATTGATCAGAGAGAGTTTCCTGCTACAATCCATGAGTCAGTTTCTTATTCATACATTTGCCAAGATGTAAAACTGGTCTCTGTTATGTGGCTGTGAATCCTGATTGGTTGGTAATTGGGAACATAGGACTGTCCAGTCCAGATCGGATCAGAGGTCCATGTTCTCCAGAGGTCTCCAAACTGTGGGGTGCGCCCCCCTAAGGAACGTTGGGAGGGGGCCACAGCGGGGCCCAGGCCAGCTCCCATGGGGGGTGGGAAGGGAGTTCCACCCAGCGCCACTCTGCGCCCAGCTCTGCTCCGGTCCCTCCCCCCAACCGCAACCCTGATTCCTGTCCCCGTCCCTGACCCCATCCCCCAGCCTCAGTGCAGAGGCCCCGGCCCCACACCAGCCCTCAGCTTTGACCGCTTGCTGCAGCTCCGTTTTCGGCCCAAGGCTGAGGCTGGGGGTGAGCGGAGCCTCACCAGGCTGCCAACCCGGCTACTGGCTCCCAATACAGCCCGGCTGCAGCTCCGCCCCCGCTCCCAACCTCAGCCCCTGGCCGCAGCCCCGCTCCTGGCCCCAGATCCACCCCCAGCTGCAGCCCCAACCTCGGCCCCCTTATCCTTTTTAAAGAAAACGTAGCTTGATAGCATCCTGTCTGGCAAGAAATCACTTATCAATGGTTACAGAGGGTCCTGTGGCACCTTTAAGACTAACCGAAGTATTGGGAGCATAAGCTTTCGTGGGAAAGAACCTCACTTCTTCAGATGCCGCAAGTTTCTTCATGAGGTTGATAGATTTCCATTCCATACGGCTAAATGCAGTGCCTTGCATGGTTTCAAGTATCCGAGGGGTAGCCGTGTTAGTCTGAATCTGTAAAAAGCAACAGAGGGTCCTGTGGCACCTTTAAGACTAACAGAAGTATCTGAAGAAGTGAGGTTCTTACCCACGAAAGCTTATGCTCCCAATACTTCTGTTAGTCTTAAAGGTGCCACAGGACCCTCTGTTGCTTTTTACAGATTCAGACTAACACGGCTACCCCTCTGATACTTATCAATGGTTGTGGTTGTGAAACCCTCATTTCTGTATTGTTTTATCTTTATGGCCCCCACTTTTCTATTGTTAATCTGCCCGGTTCTCTAATTGTTTCTGTCTGCTGTGGAATTAATTTTGCTAGGTGTAAGTTAATGAGGGTAGTGGGATATAACTGGTTAGAGAATTATGTTACAATATGTTAGGATTGGTTAGTTAAATTTCAATGAAATGATTGGTTAAGAATGATAGAGCTGAGAATATTACTATATAAACTGGGGTCAAACAGGAAGTGGGGGGAAGGGAAATTGGAATCACGTTTGCTAAGGGGGGGAATGGGAGCAGGAAATAGGGAACAGGGAACAGAGACACAGGCAAGGCTCTGTAGCATCAGAACTGGGAAGGGGGACGCGGGGTAAATGCGCTGTGGCGTCAGAGCTGGGAAGGGGGACACGGGGTAAATGCTCTGCGGTGTCAGAGCTGGGAAGGGAACACTGGGGAACAGACTCTATCACGTACAGATAAGCCCAACTGGTGTGAAGGACTTCGGAATATGCCTGTTTGGAAACTTACCCCAATAAACATTGCATTGTCCGCGCTTCGGACTTCTGGTCTTCTGCTTTCTGTCTGTGTGACAAGAACCAGGGGAGAGGGTGAAGGGAAAACCCTCTAACATCCCACATTGGTTCTGTTTAAGAGGAGACTGTGGCAGGAGGGAGCCCTTCCTAAGCCGTCTCTGTCATGGGAGCACAATTGACACCTTTTGCGAGCAGCAGACCAAAGAGATCACACAGGAAAGGAAGGCTAAAGGTCGGTGACAACACAGGCAACGTTTGTTACGCTGTTGAGGCTTCTGAAGTAGAGACTTTCCAGTAAAGGAGACAGGCCTCAAGCCAAATCATACAAAAATAAAGCACCGGGCTGGCAAAAGCTGAGGGCTAGTTTCCCCTCAGAGTAGAAAGGGGCAGTGCCTAATCAGGTGATTTTCTCGGTATGGTTTGTTTATTCACAGACAGTACAAATGCCCGTGCCCAGGACTTAGCAGCTATTCTTCAGCCTCTCTGACGAGCTGGCAACATACTAGCTAATTAGTGACCTCAGTTGGATGTAATGGGGCGTAATTAGAAACCGAGCCCAGTTGTGGTGGCGGAGCAGACAGAGCACAACTTAACTAGGGCTGGGGACTCAGCAGAGGAGGAAGATCGTGGAGAAAGGAACAAAGCAGGTTCCTCTCTGGGAAGAACCTGAGGAAGTCAAGTGGAGAGACCCACCTGGAGCAGCATCGGCTCCTGAGGGGTAGCCCTGAGCAAGACCCTACATCAGGGAAGAGAAGAGAGGCCCAGGAGGGGTGGGAAACCAGTTCAT